ACAGCAACCTGAAACTCTCAAATGATTCTCTTGCCTCAGCCTCCTGAGTAGCTGGGACTACAGCTACCCGCCACAACGCCCAGCTATCTTTAGAAACAAAGTCTCTGGCTCAGGCTGGTCTTGAACCTGTGAGCTCAGGCAATCCACCCACCTGGGCGTCCCAGAGTGCAAGGATTACAGGCATGAGACGCCATGCCAGCCACAAGTCAGTCATTTTTATAGATGAGAGTCACAACTTACATTAAGCAAGACGGATTCCAGCTCAGAACTGCTGGCCTGTACATATGTTGTCATTCCTGGTTTCCCTAATTCTTATCCTCCAGGCTTCTATTCTCCCAAGACCGTTTACCTCCTTTGACCTCTTGCACATTTTGTTGTTGTTCAAATGGAGAGGAGACGGATGGAAGGATGAGGGGGTAGGAAATGAAGCCTTATGCATAGTGTCTCGTTTCACCATAAAATCATCTCATGTGACAAATGAGAAAATGGAGGCTTAGAGAACTAAATAATTTGCCTAAGACTGTGGGTGTTGGGACCCAGCCTGATTTCAGAAGCAAAGGGTTTCCTACCATGAAATGCTGCCTCCCAAGGGAGGAGTAGAGCCGTTTCCAGGAAGAACGCACTGTGAAATCCCCTCTGGCCTATTTGTCATGAGTAGGGTGGCCTGATGACTCATGCCAGAATGTGGAATTTGCTTCTCCAGCTGATGGTTAGACAGTGAGGATGACTAGAAGGGCCATACTTTGTCAAGTTCCATGCAGGGGACAATGGACACCTTGAAACCCCCACACCTTGAAATTAAAAAACAAGCCAATGGCTCGGTGCCCGTATAGCACAATGGTTATGGCGCTGGCCACATGCAGGGAGGCTGGTGGGTTTGAACCCAGCCCAGGCCAGCTAAAACAATAATGACAATCTACTGCAGGAACAGAGTGAGCACTAAAGGAACAGAATGTGAGTCAAGGCTCAGCACCTGTAGCTCAACCGGCTAAGGCGCCAGCCACATACACCTAAGGTGGCGGGTTTGAATCCCCAGCCCGGGCCCACCAAACAACAATAATGGCTGCAACC